GGGGGAGAGGGCCATGGGGGAACCCCTGCCAGTCCCCTGAGGGCTCCCCTAGCCCCACCATGGCTGCCCCCACCTGCCCCAGCTCCTGGAGTTTTAAAAAAAGCCCCGGTGCTCACTGGGTGCTGCTGGGCAGGGGGTGATCCCCACTGCCTGCTACTGCATGGGGGGCTCTGCACGAGGAGCTCCTGTTTATGTAGTTAGATCAGCTTCAGTTCCTGGTATAGATGTGGAGGTGGGAAGAGGGGGGCTACTGCTGGAAGTATTAGGAGAACATCAAGTCTTCTAGAGCAAAATGTGGTTAAGTAGGTAATACATTTAAATATGTTCAACACAAGCTTTGCTTTGAAACTGACTCATGAATGTCAGGGGCTGGAGAGTCCTTACAAGATCATCGGGTCCAGCCCCTTGCATTTGGGCAGGAAAGACTGCTGGGGTCAGATGACTCCAGCAAGGTGGGCATCATGATGCTTTTGAAGATTGCCAGGGTGGTTAACTGTATACCATCATGTGGACTTATTTTATAACAAGAGGTGAAACTCCATCAAGCCTTCAGCAGGTTCTAGAGCAACTTGAGAGGCGCTGTAGTTAGTACACTATCTTACACTGTGCACCAAGTTGTTTGTCAGTTATTACAGTAGGTAATACAAAGATATATTGGCCCTGCTCCTTCTAAACCATAGCGTTTATTGCTTCTGTGTTAAACACACCGAGATAGTCTGCTAAGGAAATGTAACATGCCTAGAATGAGTCCATAAATCCAATGTATTGGTTAATCCATTTAAGGAAATTGTAACCTACTATTGCTGCATGATATGAACATTCCTCTTCCAGGTCAAGTGGCAGAGCTGGGCTGGGGAGGGCTGGGCTATGGCACCGAAAGGCAAAGGCTCACACCATGGTGGGGAGTGCAATAAACATTGGGACTAGTGGCACAATAATCCTGACGTCTTTCCATAAAGTCCTGTTACCTTTGGAACCTTGAAATTTGACTCAAATGAATTTAGGAATAAGCAGACAGTGATTCCTAAAGCAGCACTCTTTTGTTTTACAGGCTACAGAGAAAGATGTTTTATGGACAATGAGAGCCTCCATGCTGGTGTTTGGGACAGCAGCTGCTGGCCTGGCTTTTTACTCCCATTCTATTTATGACCTGTGGTTCCTGTCTGGTGAGCTAGTGTATGCCCTCCTCTTTCCTCAGCTGTGCTGTGTGCTCTTCATACCTCACACCAACACATACGGCTCAGCAGCTGGGATCCTCTTAGGGTTCCTCCTGAGGCTGTTGGCAGGGGAGCCATCCCTGAAAATCCCTCCTGTTATCCAATACCCAGGCTGCTGCCTTGTGGATGGGGTCTACGTTCAGCTGTTCCCTTTTAAAACATTCACCATGCTGTTCACTTTGGGGATCATAGTCTCTGTTTCCTACCTGTCAGCATTTTTGTTTAAGAGAAACCTCCTCTCTCGCAGATGGGATGTTTGCAACATTATGAAAGAAAACAGTTTACACATCCCTCTGCACCAGCTGGAAAAGCAGGACTTGCAAGGGACTGCATTGCCAGAGAATCATGATTAAATGCAGAGCATCAGCTGAAAGGCAATTGAGCAAACTGCAGTTTTGTTACCAGGTCAATGATGTTTCTTCTTTATTCTTCCCTATCTAGCAGTGAATTGTTCAAAGCCCACAGTAGAGTCATAAAGATAGTCAGCACTCCATTAACACCACAAGGATGAAGGAAGTCAGAGTTTGCAATACTGAAAGGTGCGCAGTGATGCAAATGGCTGTGTGGTGATTAGTATGAAATATTATAAAATAAAACTTGCTCCTGCTTGGTTTTGGTACAACAGTCTTTGCAAAATGCAACTGTGGTGAGCAGTTAAAGGCCATTTCCTAACAGAGATAAAATTCATATGTTACACCTCCGTATCTCACAACACCTGTATTAATGAATGTTTTAACAGATTGTATATTGAGAAGAAACTGTTGTCATTGCCATAAATGGGAGTTTTACTATACATTTCTACCACTGCATTTTTCAGGGTTAAATTTGTCACAATCTTAAATGCCTGCATTTCAATGCAGAGCCTGCTTGTGATGCCCAGCTGCCACAGGAAGATTGCCTCAAGGTTCATGCCTTGAGATTCATCTCTCTGTTCAAGCTCTTATTTACTTGAGGAGGACAGAAAATGAAGCAGTAATATCCACCGTTGTCATTTGAAAAGATACTTCCCTGTACATCCACTCCACTCCGTACCTTTTCCTCCTAAACCTGTCATTCCCTCCAACAAATATATTGACCCAGATCCTATTTTGCCTGAAGGTTATGTTTATATCACCTCCACAATAATCCTAAAACTGCTGCTAAACAGCAAGCACTAACCGCTTTCTCCCATTCTGCAGGCATGACTGCATGTTTAGTAGTTTACTGTGGCCTAATAGGGCCACATGTGTAAGAGGCCGAGACATTTATAATTAGGCAGCTCCACAGTAAACCTCTCATGTAGACATGACCTGCATGTGCAACATATTGAAATAAAGTTGCATAGTCACCCTAAGTTGAGCAGGGCATGACCAGGGCAGGCACAGCTCTCAGGACCTGGAAGCATCCCTCATGTGAGCTACTCAGAAAGGGTTGGAAAAAAACTGAATATTGTAGGTGTGCACTTTATTTTCATAGCAAGAGAGTCAGAAACTTTGAGATTTATTACTAACAACCTACCAGGCTCTTTTCTTTTCTCCAAACTCAGGCGTGCTCTCCTTCCTGTTACAGAGTCTGGATAATGTCTTACAACAACTACTAACTCTCTATGTTGACTCTAGAAGGAAATTAGGCACCTCTGCCCAGATATCTGGATTGGTCCTCTGGGGGGAAAATGTCCAAGTTTTAGGCACTGAAATGCTTAAGTGGAGTCACTTAGGTGACCAGGCTCAATCTGGTCCTCAGTGGGCACGTCTACATGGGACACTACTGTGCAACAGTTACTGTGCATTTATTTAGTTCTTGTTTAATCAATTACTAAATAAATGTGGAGTAACTGGACTTAGTCTGCAGTTGCACCAGCGAATGCTAGTGAGACTACTGTGCAGTAGCTTAATAATACTACGCAGTAGTGTATTAGCACTGTTGGTGCTGTGACACACTACTGCGCAGAGTTATTCAGCTACTGCACAGTTAGTGTCTCGTGTACTCTGCGTGCATCTTGTCCAATGGCATGTCTACACAAGAGGTATACTGCCAAGTAAACTAATTAGCTCTGCAGCAAATGTCTCACAGCTACAAGTACAGCCCTATTAGGCCACAGGAAAATAATTAACTCTGCAGTAGTGTAGTACTTGCATCTACACATGCTATTAGCATGGAGCAATAAACTCCTGTGCATATCACGCCAGAGTTTATTGCTCCCAGGCACCACATTAGACATGCGCCCAGGACCATAGCACATTGGGCCAAGTCAGAGCAGCCCTGGGCTGGCAGGCTGACCCCCCTTAGCCTGCCTGCCAGCTGGGGCTGCTCCAATCTGGCTCAGTGTGCTGCAGAGGGGCTTGCTGGGGCACAAGGATGCTTCAGTGCAGGGCTAGCCGGCAGGTACCATGCGCACTGAAGCACCCTCATGCCCCAGCCAGCCTTGTCAGTCTCTACATGTGTGTTGCTGTGCACTAAAGAACTATGTTCTTTCCTGGTGAACCATGGTCAGTGAAAGCTGCCAACTGTCTGAAAAGGAGAATTGTGTGTCTATGCAGAATAGTTTAGGACTTATCACAATAAGCCATCTACTGTGGCCCTAGAGACAACAGGAGAGCTATGCATCCCCCTGAGTGGATCTAGATCATACTCCAAGGTAGGGAGTATAAATTTTCCTACATCTTTCCTGTAGCTGGTAGAAGTAGATTAGAATCAGGCACCAAAAAATGGGCAGGTACGCAGCTATCCCAGGGCAGCTATTTACAGAGACTTACCACCAGGTGATGGGAAAACAGGCAATTGGCCTTTAGCAGCAGCTATCCCAGGATGAACACAGACTGAATACACCTAAACCAATGTAACTGAACACCAACAGAGTTTTAGTTTTTCAAGGATAATTGCCTAACAGTTTAGGTAAAATTTATCCAAGTTAGGGGTGTGTGTCATCCATCTGCTATCTATTTACACCAATGGTGCTCAACCTAAAATTAATGAGCTGGATCTGACCCCAAAGACTGGACCCAGCCCACAGTACAGAGATAAACAGCAAGCAGCATGGTAACCCATCCTCTTCTGTGTCCTGCATCATGCTGTTGATCTCCTCCAAAGTACTCCTTGCTCTGCTCCCCTACCAGAAGGGATTGTTGGCCTGTGCTTCAACTGAGTCTCAAACACCCAGTCCACTGACTGAGCCCCACTGATTTACACCAACATAAGGCTGAATACACCAATATAACTGTCACCTGTCCACAGCCTAACAGATTCACTAATACACATAGATGAATTAATAACCTCAAGTTAAATGATAAGCAGGGATTTAGCTTTTCTGTTCATCATGGTAAAATGCAGATTTTCTCATTTTAAGGAAAAAAAACCACAAGAAACAGTGGGTGATCCAGAGTTAACAGATACCTGCAGACTGCTGAAATACCAAACCATACTTGAAAGTTCTGCTAATTCAGGATTAATACAGAGGCGGCTGGTGAAATAGCCATTTAACACAACTCCCAGAAAGAGAACCACCCTCCATTCTCTGCAGGCACAAAGCTGCTGGCAGGTGCCAGAAGAGCTGCATCTGCATAAACATCACAAACTTATGTGCCGGGCTCACTACTTATGCCCAACAAGCCAGGGTTGGAGAAAGACACTTAGGATTGGTGAAACATTTCTACCAACCAGGTAGCAGCTGGGAGGGGCTTGCCCTGCCCCTGCTTGGCGGGGGGTGGGCCAGAACCCATGGACCTGATTGAAAACTGCACTTTGCAGGTCCAGTGGACTTTGGGGCAGGGCCTCCAGTGTAAATAAAAACCCAGTGTGCTCGGCATGCTGGGCAGATGCGGTGAGGAGAGAGGAGCTCTGGAGAAGACTGTCATTAGGACCCCACCTAAGCCTCGACAGTGCACAGATCAGCGCACAAAGAGCCAGCCCTGGGAGCAGCCCAAGGCTGCTCGGGCTCCACACAGTGCAGATTGGTGCACAGAGAGTCAACCTCAAGAACAGCTCAAGGTTGCTCAAGTTAGCCCCGGCTCTAGGCCAGGTAGCCGGAGCCCCACAGTGTGGCTCAGCATTAAACTAAAAGAGCCCCAGTGCTCAAAGCAGGGCCTGGGAAGGGGAAAGACCCCCAGTGCAAGGCTGGGAAACCGGAGCCAGTAAGGACTCGGCTCCCATAGGAGCTCCCTGGGTGCCCAATGCAGGGCACAGGTCCATTGGGGAAGCCCTGGCAGGAGGCCGGGCATGCCTAGAGCAAGGCACCAGACTATCAAGAGGAGCCAAAGGACTGGCTCCTCTCATTTGTTGGCATTAGGCAGAGGATTCCTGTAAACAAGGGGTGACGATTGGTCCCAGAGACAGAAGGGGTATGTGACAGAACTCAAAAGGAGGAGCTCCACCTCAGAAAGCCGGTCCTGCCAACCCTCGATCTACTTAGGTTTGCTGTAAAAGAGTGATCTGGGAGATATCCTGCCTCTGCCCAAGGCAGAGGGGGGCAACAGAAGAGCTTCTGGTATCTACTGGCTCCCTGATCTTCAATATAATTTCTCCAGCTCAACCCTTGCGTCTGGCCTGTTCTGGGCACAGGATTCTGGAGCCTCCAGACCACGTCTGTCCCTCCAGGCTCCAGAACCAAGACTCATGGGCTTGGCAAACCACCACTGAACCCTTTAGGGCACAGCAGCAGAGCCTCAAGCCCAGGCACCCAGCTCAGGTACCTGCCTTAGGACTTTGTGCGTGTGCCTCCGGCTTCCTCCAGCAGGAGAATATTGCACAGAATGTGGGAGCACCCTGTTATGCAGCCTCATTTCCCTTTACAGCCACTCCCAGCCCATCACTGAACAGAAATGTCTATGTAGAGTTCCTCTCCACCTCGGGGTAAACAGACACAGTTCTAACTCAGGGTTTCATCCCTTGGGCCTGCTACTCGAGCAAAGAAGAAATAAAGTCCCAACTGAAATTTGTTCCCTTTCAAGATCCACTTACTCTGTCCATCACAGCCTTCCCTCCATCTGGTAAGAGCAATCCAGCCTGTTCAGTGGTCAGAGCTGGACTGCCCCTCTCTCCTCTGAGATGAGCTTTTATCCTCTCTAGCTCCTTCCCCTTTCTGGTCACCTGGCCTATCCCACTCCACCTGGCAGGAGTCTTTTGCTATCTCTGCAGGGGTGTAGGTTGTAGCCGTGTTGGTCTAAGGACATAGGCAGACAAGGTTCCTTGGGTGAATCTGATATCTTTTATTAGACCAGTTGGTCTAATAAAAGATATTAGATTCACCCAAGGAACCTTGTCTTGCTATCTCTGCAGCATTCATGCTATTGGGGAGCTTGCCACTTTGCTTTCCTGATCTTCCCCTAGGCTTCTTTTGCTGGCCTCTGGCTCCTGCTAGCCCAAAAGGTTCCAGCCTTAAAAGGGCCAGGCCAGCTTTCCAGGCTTTTCCATCCCTTTTGCATAACAGGGGTTTGACTGAGTGATAGCCAGGAATTGAGCCAGCCACTAGCAGGGAGAAACTAAATAAGGGTGAGGATGCAAAAGTGCAGTCGCATGGGACTGTTCCTGACTGTTCTCTTAGAAAAAAGCTACAAGTCTGCCTAAAGACAGTAGCAACCAAACTGAACATCTTCACCTAATCGGCCTCCTCTGTCATTCTTAGTGACTTCTGCTCTAAGTGGATAACAGTTGGGAAATATTGAAATGCTATTTTTTCTTGCACCTAGCAGAGAAGGGTTCTATTCTATTAGCAAACAATAAGTAAAGAGCCCTTATTGATCAGGTTAGTGGAATAAAAACTGCTGTCTTCTTTTAGTCATGGATGTGTATACGATACTTCTGCTAGCAATGCTGTGGGATGCGCTTCCAGGACAGGTGACTGTTACTAAGACAAGCAAACAAGAACAGTGAATTTGTACAAACTTTGATCCTCTTAAAGAGCATCTGGTTCCCTCACAGAGAACATTCTCCCTAGAACAATGCCTGCATATATTTACCTGTTTGTTTTCTGAACTTCTTTTTCTGCATATTTATTATTAAGGATATTTACATGAAAACAGAATGTTTCTTTTTTGCCCCCATTTTAATTGTAAAACTAGCACTGCTAACCTGGTATGGTACCGAGCAGGAGTGACAAATGACTAACAACCTTTCCACAACCAGGACACTGAACAACAAAGCAGAGCTCTGAGATCAGTTTAAATCAAACTCACCTGGTAACAAACCTGAAAGTCAAGTGAGATTCACTAAGAGACTTCCTAATTTAACCTTCCTGTTGAACCTAGACCTATATTTGAGCAAGCCTGGTTGCCTTTATAGTGTCGTGCTTTAGAGGGGAAGGTTTCATCTCAAGAAGGTGACACTTGGGCTTGCTATGTGATAAAAAGGATTTTCTCTCTGCTGGAACTCCATTTCATAACCACTACATTGATTTTTAATACAGATAGTAGTAAAATGTTTTACATATAAGGAGCTTTGTGTTGTATGCTGCAACCGATTGATCAAGGAATGAAAGCAACACGCATTAAAACTGCAGTTTCATTATATAACCGTGATATGCTCTCTCCTATGCATATACATAGATTATCAGCTTGAATGCAGGTAAAGAACAAGAACTGAAGAAGAAGAAAGTTACAACTGTTCCTGTTATTAAGTATAACTGGTAGGATGAACTAAATACAAGATGCTTCATATCATTACAAGGGACTCTACTGCCACCAAGTGAAAATTCAAATAATCAGTAACTATCCATCAGCACTGCTCTAGTAATACTTGGCTAAGGCAAAACTCAAACTAGGGAACAGCAGGATATATGTTCCAGAGAAATGGGGAGCAACCCTTTTTGGCAGGTGTGCCTCAGATTAGCCCTGTACTTTCTTTAGGCACATCTACATGAGATGTTTACTGACCAGTTGACTAAGTAGCTGCTCAGTAAACGTCTCTCCATCTACATGAGCACTCCTGTTAGGCTGGAGTAAACTAATTTACTCTGCAGCAGTTAGTATTTGTAAATACAAGTACTATCCTGCTGTGGAGTAAAAGCCTCCACTGCAGCACACGTGTAGACACTGCGCTGGTTGGCACACAAGGGTGCTTCAGTGCAGGGACACTGAAGCTCCCTCGTGCCCCAGCCAGCCCCTCTGCAGCACATTGAACTGGGGAGAGCAGCCCCAGGCTGGCAGGCTGGCTTAGCTCTACATGCTGCACCTGAATAAACTATGCAGCTTATTGCTCCAGAGTTAATTGCTCCCAGGCAGACATTCAAATGGCACTCCCAGGAACAATAACCTCTAGAGCAATAAGCTCTGCAGTTTATTCAGGCACTGTAATTGCATGTGTAGATGTGCCCCTTGAGTGCCACTCTGATCCCCTTCCCCTACCTGATTTCCTGCTCTACTTCCTGCCCTCTGCTCCCTGCCTAATCTGCTTCTCTGTTTTCTGCTCCCTGCCCCGTGCTCCCTATCTGATGTGCTGCTCTGCTTTCTGCTCCCTGAACTTTCTGCTGTTGTGCTGCCCCTCCCTGATCTGCCACAGGTAGGCACCTCAGTTCCCTACAAAGTGGATGGGGAAAGTGAGGCACCTAGGAATGGATTCCCAGAAACCAGCCCTCAAAGCAAGACAGGGTCTAGATCCAGCCTGTCCCCTGCAATTAGATGCCCTTCTGGACTAGGATTCACAGCCCAGAAGCTCTTCCTAGCCTAAGATGTCTAAACCACCCCTTTAGCTACATACAACTGGCATAGTTTTTTCTTGGCTGGTGGTGCTGTCATCCACCTTTTACTTAATAGTGCAATGTCAAATCACTCAGGATATAGGAAATGGTTCTGGACCCTCCTCAGCCTGAAGGGGCTCAAACCCACATCTCTCCACCTCCCACAGAGTGCCCTAACCCTCAGGCTAGGGACAAGGCTAGATTTAGCCCCCTCCCCAGCCTCCTTAAAAATTCATTGGGGAAGAGGGAAACAAAGGAAAAGGAAGCTTGACTCTAAGCTCAGAGATGGGGCAATTCCCTAGGGGGAAAAGATCAGGTTTCCTGTCACTGTCCCCTGTGCTCTTTATGCATTTTACCCAGTGCCTTTTTAATCTAAATGTATAAGCAGTCCCAGGAGTAGGGACTGGAACCTAGAGCTCTGTCTTCCCGGGGAAGTGTTCACATCTCTGGGCTACAAAATCAAGCTTCTTTGTGCTTGCTCCTCCTATCCTTAACTCTTGCGCCCTGCATTTCAGCATGGCCCAGGGGAGGGAAGGAAGCACCCCATCCCAGCCTAACCTGTAGCCTGGTGGTTGGGTACAGGTCTACCTCCTGTCTTAGGAGGTAGAAGCTATGGGTGTGAATCACCCATGCTGAGAAATGTCTAGAAGCCAGATCTGTAGGTGAGTCCTCCAACCATAGGATATTATAGAAAAGTGGGTAGCAGCATCCTCTGTCATTTTTAAAGGAAAGTGGCTATAGCTACTCTCTTTTATGATGACCTAAATCCTGTTAGTAGGTTGTAAGACTGTGCTGAGCATACCTACCAGATCAGACTCTTCTTGAGATTTAGTCATCATGAAGACATGTATCCTGTGAATCCCAAACAGCCTTCAGTGTGAGACAGGTACTGAGCACTTGGCTTTGCTGAGATGGGAGAGCCTCCAGGCATATACAGTATCAACACTTTGGTGCCAAATTTACATGCAAAAATGAAGGTGCCTAGAGATTTTTGGATGCCTAATGAATTACAGAGGTGGAGGGAGGCTTTTTAGGTCATTCACTTGGACACCTAATGTCTGCCTATGTTGCATATAAGACATTTAAGTGTATTTTGGATCTTGTCTCACATTTTGAGAGACAAACTTTATACAATGTCTAGCACAATGAGCCTCCAACTTGTTTCATCTCTACATGCTATAATATTTGTATTAAATATTAATCCCTTTAGTATGAATCAGAAACTCTGCCATCAAACTCAAAACATAGAACCAGTGTGATTTTTTTGGAGATTTTTGAGGCTGGCAGTCATGATGCAGCCTAATGCCAAGTAAAAGATGCCCTCTCAGGGTACGAACAGACATCTCATTTGACCCAGAACTGATTTTTCTGGGGTTTTACCTGAATTAAAGGGGGGGGAGGGGGGGCAAGAAACACAGTCCTTTACACACGTCACCCTTCCAAGCTGTATTACTCCTCCTCTGCCAGTAGGTGGTCAGCGAGAGGACACCACCTGACCAACTTGTCTCTTGGCTCTGGAATGAACTGCAGTAACCTTACAGACAGAAAACAGGATGTCCCAGGAAAAGGTGCTAATGCATATAGCCAACACGCTTCAGAGGGACTTGAAACAGAACAGTGCATGTGCACATCAATACAATCCTGGAGAAAACCTTTTGTTCCAAGGACAAATGCAACCTCTGTTAACAGCCTCAAAAAGTATCATAGGAAATGGCATGAAGATCCAGTCTAGATGTCATCTAAACCTTGTCCTTCTCCAAGTCCATTCATAGCATCTAATGAAGTACTCTGTCACCTATGGAAGCTCATGCCTTTCTGAATCAGTCAGTCTCTAAGGTGCCAGCTTGCCCTACTTTTTGCCTAACTAGCACAACTAACCACCTCTCAGCATAGCTATTATTAACACACACAATGAATGGACCGTCCTGGGTTATCAAATCCAGTCCCTTTATTGCAACCAACCAACCACACCAGACAATCCCTGCACAGCCTGATCAAGCTCCCTCTTAAAACAGTTGTTTCACACCTATTATTTCTACTGCCAGTCTATTTGAGAAGTTCACTTTTGTGATGGTTCAGTAGCCTAACTAGGGGTGAACAAGAAGGGCACTAGCTCAGAGTGCCAACTAAGGAAGGGTGCCTTAATTGTCCCCCACCTTCATGGATTCTACTCCCTGGCAACAACAGCAGCCCCATGGCACTGCTCTTGCAGCAGCAGCAACTCTATAAGGACACCTGGGTACTGCACTTTAAAAGAAAGGGTGGGGACTGGCAGAGCACATGGTGATGATGATGGCAGCAGTGGCACAGCCAGGGACCCTTTGGGAGTTCCTGGCAGAGATAAGGCTCCTGTGCTCCCCACTCTCAAAGTCATGCTCCCACTCTTCCTCTGCCCCCAGGGCACAAACCCTGCTTTTTATGTCCGCATGGTGGTTAGAAAACCTCTAGTTGCCCTCCTAGATTTCTTTCTGGCCAGTTACCAATTTGTTCTTGTTTCAATATTATTAACTCATTTTTACTGTCTAGAACAAATTATATAGAAAGCAATTGTATCAAACTCAGCCTTTATTGGCTAGGCCACAAAGCCAAATCATTTCAGTCCCTCTCATAAAATAATCTCTCTATTCCCCTTATCATCTGAGTAAACTTTCTCTGAACCTCTTAAAGTGCGAGTTATTTCTTGAACATGGGTGACCAGAATTGTAAACAGTGTCCCAACTGAGGTCTTGCCAAGACCTTGTTTAATTCTCTGTCTCTATTAGAAATACATTGTCTGGCACATTCTAGGATTGCATTTTCTTTTTCAGTCACACGCACACCTGTTTGAACAGGTATAGAGGACTGAATAAAGGAAAAAAGCAGTGGAGAATCAAAGTAAAAAAAATACCTGGGTCCCAAAAGGGAAATGGTCCAGGGCTCCGTGGTAAGAGTTGAACAAATAATGGGATCTCCATTTCAGCGGCTAAACTGAAATTGGGGAGGAGGAAGGGGAAGTCAATGCAGGTGGAACCAAAACATAAATGCAATAAAATTCCAATTAAACAAGAAAATAATTTTGAGGGTAAATCTGAAATGATTTGTTCAATTTAAAGTGAAATACTTTGTTATAATTTTTGGATTAGTTGGCCCTTTAAAAAACAATCTTTTATTTTTAAATTTAAAAATAAATTCATTATTTTATTATAGGTCATTATTCATTGTAGGTCATTATTTTATCCAAAACACCTTTATGAACATAAGCAATTGTTTTGTAAATTTCCAAGCAGCACTTCCAAAACACTTCAGATACAAAAAGTTGAAAGTGTTATAATGAAACAATTTCCTATTTCCCTCTTTCCATCTTTTTCAGCAGGGGTATTTTGCTGGATTCACCCTGATTTTTCTAAATAGATCTCGTCCTTCTGACACTTCACCTAGACTCCATTTTTACTTGAATTCATTATTTGTTGAAAAAAATTCACTCAGTTCTACCCATCACGTTAGCCTCAATGGAAATAATGTGAAAGCACAGCTTATAGCAAAAAATAAACTCACCTGACTGCATGTCTGTTTTGTCGGTTTGACACAGTTGCACTGGAACAGCACAAATCTTATTATCAGTATCAAATTTAGTAACTGTACTGCTCTTTTGAGCCTTGATTGCAAAGCTTGTTGTTGTTCCTGTTGGGAGCTATAATGGTCTAGATATTAACCTGTTTTATTTCCCTCTTGGTAAAGCTTGCCCCATCAAAGTGTTCACTATACCATATGTGCCAATGACACACTTTCTTGTCTCATAACATGAGCATTCAGAGTTGTTACCAAGAAGCAGCCAGTTTGCTAAGAGCTAAAAGAGCAAAGATGGAAAGAGGAAAACACAGGAAATAACCACCTATAAAGGATCTTTGCTGTAAGCCAAAATTATACATCAGTACTTTATTTTCCCCTTTGCCTTGTCAGTTCATTTAGCATAGCAGGGAGCCTGCTGTTGAAATCTTCCTAGCCCCGTTGCCAAGGCCTGTTTCATTACAGAGAAGGCACTGGCAGGCTCCAATTCATTATTCCATTTTCTCTTGTGAGGCAAGGGAAAGAGATAATTAAACTAATTGTCTGTAGCCTTTTTCCTGAAGTTGGAAACCAACTGTTTCTGAAAATCTGGCTGCAGGTATTGGAATGGGAGCTGCCGAGCTGTCTAGAGTATCTGGCCTCAAATATCAATGCAAGGTACTTGAATAGCTGGCCCTGGATCAATACAGCACAAATGTCCATATCTGCAATACCAACCAGCCAGTACTCAGCACACCCAAGTGCCTTGACTTGGGCAACCCCCTGCTCTTGTAATATCTGCAGTGGAATTACCTCTGCTGATAATCACCTGCCCCATGTTCATGGGTGTGCTATCTAGCCTCCCTAAATGAAGAACAAGACAATGGCCATCCATTAGCAAGCTCCAGAGCCCGAGAGAGAGGCCCCTTCTCAGAGGTAATCCATGGAGTTCTTGCTGGTTGTCCACAGAGAGCCTGCGGTAAAGCTTGTGGAACCTCTTTATTTTCAGCTGATGGGCAACATGAGAAAACAGCTAAAATATTAAATACTTTACTAACATTATTTTCCCAGGAAGCAGTTGCTGCTGTTCCAAAAGGATCTTATGAAATCAAGCAAAGAACAAATCAGGGGGTTTACAAGACAATCTCTTAATGGGCTCCAGGTAATGAAAAAAAATTGAGAAGTCTTGAATTAAGGCATCACACAGAAACAGGGGAAGAACCACCAGAAGGAGAGAGAGGATGCAATTAAATAACGAGCATTACACACATCCTAGTGTCATCTTATTTTGTCCCGAACACAGGTGTTGCATTTCAAAATAAGCATATTGCAACACCTATCTTTTCTGTGCCAAGCACCAAGTCCTCTGCCTTTGTTCTGCTCACTTTGTTCTGTTAGGCAACTTCTGATCCTTCCAGGTTTCCTAAGTTTTTGGGGGGAATTTAGCAGTTAACCATTTCCAGTCGTGCTAACAAGGCCAGAACCACTGGCCCAGCCAACATTCTACTGCTTTTCTTTTTATACATAAAAGTTAAAAAAACCCTGAAATGTATCATTCACTACCTCTTTTTTATCATAGCTAGAACCTGTCACTTTCCAGTTTGTTTTTGTACACTGCAAGCTTTGCAATGGCATCACATATAATTGCACATCCCCATCAACTCTTACTGCTGGTGCTACCATAAGCGAAAGACTCAGGGTTCTGGTTATATTGTGCTGGGTCATATCGTCCAGAATTACCCACCAAGCAGCCTCCATTTCTTCCTCAACCTCTTCTATTTCCTCAAGTTGCTGCTGAATTAGGTAAACTGTGGTACCCACGGTTTCTTATGCATAAACAGATGGCAGCCAAATGCATCTCAGCACAGCTGGGACACTTCACTGGGCAAAATAGTGTGTGATCCACTTCACTGGGCAAAACAGATGTCAGCTGTTGTCCCACTCAGGGCACCCCTCTGCAAACAGGAGAACCTCAGGTTTTGCTGCTAGCAAAGGAGTGACTAGGGAACCCCAGGATTTTCTTGCTTGCAGAGACAAATACTGGGAGTCTCAAATGCACTCTAGTGTGGTCCCAGAGCTGGGACCAACAATCAGCTAATTGGCGATCCCAGCCCTGAAACTACACTGGAGCGTCAAACTTTCTCCAGGGTGTAGGTTGTAGCCATATTGGTCTATGCACATAGGCAGACAAGGTTCTTTGGGTGAATCTGATATCTTTTATTAGACCAACTTAAGCAGTTGGGGGGAAAAATTGTTAAGCAAGCTTTTGGGTTTAAAAACCCTTCATCAGGCTGAGGAAGTTTCTGCAGTTGATGTGTGCTCTTCCTGGATGGAATGAAAAGTGAAGACTATTCATCCCCCTTCTCACCCACTAACTCCTCAGTTTACATCTTCACTGACTGCCTTTCTTTTATGCAGCCCAGCACAGCCTCTGGCTTCTTTACTTTTCATTCCATCCAGGAAGAGCATACACCAACTGCAGAAACTTCCTCAGCCTGGTGAAGGGTTTTTAACCCCGAAAACTTGCTAAATATTTTTTTTCCCCAACTGCTTAAGTTGGTCTAATAAAAGATATCAGATTCACCCAAAGAACCTTGTCTGAAAACTTGCTTGGGTGCAGTCCCATGGCATAGACAGCCAATCAGCTCTCCTGTCTTAAAGCAAACAGATGTTGGCTGCAAAATAGTAGCATAAAATCATACCACCTGTGTTGCAGCCACAAATCTGGGGCAATGAGGGCTCTTATACACATGCAGGGAACAAATCCAGTGCATCAGAGCAGGCTCAATTAATCGATTAACTGAGTCTGCTGAAGCACAGAAATTAATGTGGTCCAGCAGACTCTAGCATCATGTGAACCAGCGTCCCTGTGCTAAAAAATGGCAGTGGGGCACTTTGAAGAAAAGCTCATTCAATGAGCTTTAGTTCAAAGTGCTCCACTGCCATTTTTCAGCACAGGGGACGCTGATACAGATGAAGCTTAGGTAATTCTAATTAGCACAACTCACTAATTAAAGCACCTCCCCCACATGCCTCCCAGAGCATGTGTAAAAATGCCCACAGTTTCCCTATTTGTAGAGATGCACACCCAGAGTCTCAATCTCACTCCAGTGTAATCCCAGGGTGCAACAAGGGGCTACTGCTTGGTCTTTGAACCAAATTTTTATGGAGGCACAAAGGCAATGTCGGTTTACACCCTTACTGCACTTTACCAATCCTTGTGTCTCCAGCCTTAATTCAGTTATAGGCAGAAACAGTTTAACCAATAAGTCACTCATGTAACCAGAAGGAGTCCCGAGTTCAGTCAGACTGCTGTATCAGCCATCAGATAGAAAGCACGGATCCCAACCTGGACCACAACTCAAATGCTAGAAATGCCAAGTCTGTCTTGTTCCCTGTTCTCTTAGTTGTGTTATGATGGCTCTGCTGTGTAGCAGACAGGCTGCTGCTATGGTTTTATTTGGAACACGTTCCAGTCAAGAAAAACAACTCTCTTCCTGTCTTGGGGGTGACCCGGTGGCAGCTAGGCGTGTGAATACACAACTATTTAATTCAGATTTGGATTTGGCCAATTCAGATTCAGCTGATTCAATTCGGCTGAATTGATTCAGAAAAGATTTGGAGCCAATTAGGAGAGATTTGGACATTCAGCCATAGGGTATAATGGGGAATCAATGAAATATCTATAACATTGTTAGTTTTGGGCTGATTTGGATTAAACTTCCCAGTGTGGTATCCTCTGCTGAGAGCATAAAGTCTGCCAACTTTCAAGGTGATAGGTGCAGGAGTTTCTGATCCTGCCAATTTTCAAGGAGATAGGTGCAGGGGGAGTCTGGGTTCTGGGGCCTTGCACCTCTGGCCACTGGCAGGCAAAACATGTGACATGGGTGCTTGTGGGACTGTGTGTGTGTTCAGGTTTCTTCCCTTCATTGTGTGCCAGGCCAGCCTCTGGCTTCTTTCCTATTCCTTCCAGGACCAGGAGACACGCAACTGCACATACTTCCTCAGCCTGACAAAGGGTTTTTCAACCCGAAAGCTTCCTAAGATATATTTTTCTATTTTGTTTTTTTCCCTAATAAACATATAAACATAAAAACACACAATAAGCCATCACACACCATGAGTAACATATATCCAACACAACATCTTTATTTCTTGCTGTCAATTCCTTTATGACAAGAAAGGCTCTGTGGCACTTCCGTCTGGCTACCTTTGATGCTGCTGGTGCTATTGGTGTTGAGCAAGCTAAGTTATTTTGACCTGCTGTTGTTTACAGTGGTGGACCAGACCAAATCTGTAGGGTAGGAAGAGGCCTTGTTGGGGCACGCTGCTGTGTTGTGCGGAGGCCCCAGCACCAGGAAGGGTGCACTTGAACACACACACAGTACCACAAGCACCCATGTCATGAGTTTTGCCTACCTGCAGCCAGAGGTGCAGGGTCCCAAGACCCAGACTCCCCCTGCACCTATCTCCTTGACAGCTGGCAGGCTTTGTGGCTGCAGTAGGTCCTAGCAGGCCTGCAGTTTTCACCCAACTGTGCCTTAACATACACACAGTGTCACCTATGTCATGAGTTTTGCTTGTCAGCAGTTTATGGTGCAGTTTCCCAGAAACCCCTGCACCTATCACCTTGAAACTTGACAGGCTTCATGCCCTCAGCAGAGGCAACCACCCCTGCAAGTTTCATCTGAAAAACAACAAAGTTATAGATATTTCATTGATTCCCCATTATACCTTATGGCCAAATCTCTGAATCTTTTCTGAATCTATTCGGAAGCTCCGAATCAATGCAGAAAGCCTAAGGCTTCTAGCGATTCAATTTGGATTCATAGATTCGGCCTCCGAATCACCCAAATCATCTCTGAATCCGAATTGCAATCCAAAGCTTTGCACAGCCCTAGTGCCAGCCTATAAGTATATAAGGGGTGTGCATCAGTATCTGGAAGAATGCCTGTTCACCAGAGCGCCCCAAGGGATGACAAGGTACAACGGTCACAAACTCTTCCAAGGTTGTTTTAGGCTGGGCATAAGGAAAAACTTCTTTACTGTCCAAGCCCCCAAAGCCTGGAATAGGCTCCCTCCAGAGGTGGTGCAAGCACCTACTCTGGACTCCTTTAAGAAGCATTTGGATGCTTATCTTGCTGGGATCCTTTGACCCTAGCTGACTTCCTGCCCCTGGGTTGGGGGGCTGGACTTGATCTTCCGAGGTCCTTCCAGCCCTGAAGTCTATGAAATATATCATATGTGCAACTGCCAATGGTACATCATTATGTTCCAAACCATTCATTAATAAATATAACAGTGGCATTAATAGGTGCAAATTATGTGCAATTAAATGCATGTTATTAATTGAAAGTAAATGCTGATTAAGCAACAAGCTACTAACTTTGCCTTGAGTCTTAACAGCTTTTTCTACTCCATTAATTCCACTGTTAATTTTAAGATTTAACTTTTCAATATCTCCAGTATTCCCAAGGAACATGTCAATGCCAGAACCTCCCAGCACAGTGACTAAGCTCTTGCACTCTAATTGGGTGTTATTATTTGTGAATAGGCCCAGAGGGTATTTCCACAATTTAATTTGTATATCTATTTCTCCACAATTTAATTTGTATATCTATTTCTCCATTAAACTAATTTCAATAGTTTGACATGTTCTTGGCATGGTAAACTGATTAAATGTTTAAGGACAGTCAAATATATAGTCAACCACCACTTTATCACATATTTCATTTTCAGGTGTAAGAATACAATGTATCTTGGCTAAGATTGTGAACTAGGACAATCCTCGCATTGTAAGAACAGGAGTGGACACAGAGGAAGTGTTTGAAGGGGGTGAGCTTGCAGTGGGAAGAGTTGTGCATGTTGGGGGGAGTTACACTTTTACATGGAAAATAAACTTAGTAATTAAAGCAATTATTTTGCTCTTTAGCCCATGTTTCTGCACAGAGCCTTCATCTTCCGCTTGGAAATTATGAATGCTAATGGATGTACTCTACTTGTTGCGAGGTTTAATAAAAGTTATTCTCTCCTCCCACCAATTATATGCTCAGATAGTTTCTTCTAACAGAGTAATTACTGGGGTAATTGTTCTAAACCAGTGGTCCCCAGCTCATCCAGCCCATGGGTTGGATGAGTGGTGTGGGGCCAGTCCACAGAGCTGTGCCATTTGGCCCAAATGGCTGGACTCTGGCAGTGGCAGTGTTTATTGCTATGGTTCCTGGAGCTGCAGCAGCCACCTCTGCTATCCCACAGCCAGCCCCATGAGCTGGGATTCATCTATGGCCAGCACAGATTTTTGAACCATTGCAAAGCATTTGTATAACTGTCATGTCCATTGTTCAGACAGGAACAACAGTGGCTAGCTGGCCAAGCATAGGATTTGCTACCAATTCCCAAATGGAAATTGGGTTACCCAGCAGGGCTCGTATCAGGTGAAACCAGTTGAGTAACACATCCTTGCACAAACGCACATCAGAATTCAAGCTAGAATCTCATCCCAGTTGAATCCTGTAGCATTAACTGCTTTCTTTAACTCACATTTAATTATTCTGCTCACCCTTTCTACTTGGCCTGAGGCCACCAAGTGACTCATCCAGACGCATGGGAGGGGGAGGGTGTTCCCGCCCCTATGTGCACCCCCAGAGCAGGAACAGGAGGCACATGCCCCTGATCTACATGTGGGGTGGAGCCAGGCTGCTGCTGTGGGCTGGGGTCTGCATCCCGCTGCCAGTGCCCTGGGAGCAGCACAGCACCATGTGCCTCCTGTGTGCTGGCTGCATCACCTGC